GAAACCGAATACGTATCCATTAGTTATCGTTTCGTGTGGAAAACCTGGAATTGGGTTGTATAATTTCGAAAAACAAACAAATTTTTATACATCATCTGAACGAGCTTCGTTTTCTGAGCACAAATATATTTTTATCGTTCCCATAGACATTCATCTCGATTTGTAAACCAAGATTTAAATTGTCGATAAATTGCTTTAGATGACATTAATATCCTTTTGAATGACAGTTCGCTCTATGGCGAGGGCCGCTAAAATGGTGATGTTTGCAAATGTAATGACACTGATTTATCATAGTTCATGTGAACCAAAATTTATGAAATTTTGGATTTAGGTTCCATTTTTAAACCATTTTTTCAACCTATTAATATTGGATTCAGAGAGCCGCAATAATGGCGGTAAGCTCCAACTCGGATTAACTTTTAATACCGTCCCTGTTTGGATGATCTGCGTATTGTTTGCATAGCATCGTGTTGAATAACTCTGATGTCGACATCAAAGCAGCCGGACATTCTTGATCGGGATATAATCCGAGGATAATACCGATTGAAGCTTACAGCCATAAGTGATTTAATGAATAATTCGCTGATTGCGACTCTCTGAAAACTAAATGCACAGGTTTCATACGTCAAACTCATCCTTTGCAACGTCCTCTTGTAACTTAAAAATAACAAATGTCATAATAACGTAGGGTAGAGAACTACTTCGGCCTAATCGCCCGTTTTGGGCCTATCGAGCAGAAAACTTCAATAGAAATCCATTATTTCAGGGTTCGTCAATTCAATTATGCATTTGGTACGATACTTTAGTTAATAAGCTACGGAACGAAGTCAATGAGAACACGTGATATGAAGGTTTGCACCCATTATTCCCAAAAACAAAAGAAGCGCTCCGACCGAATCAATTTTTATCTTCATTCTTTATTCTTTATTTCCATTTCGTCAAGCCAGTGTAGACTACATACAATGATTAATACAATGTTTAATCTTCATCCGATAGGCCGAAGTGAATTCATTGGCGTTTCAATGGCGTTTCAATGCGCTAGGACGAGTTTAGAATCCGTAGGCCGAGTTTGGTGTCAAGAAGCAGTGTTAGACTTTTGACAATATCTCAACGATTGGTTTCTCTTTATCAAATCTTACGGTACATACGGAAAGGTAAATAAATTTGGAAGCCATCAGTAATAATAACATTCCGTTTGGTGCTAAACTACGCTAGATAAAGAAGGACTAAGTGCGGGTTGTGCTTAATAGGCCGAAAATGGGGTAGTTAACCCTATAATGACTTCATAATTCCGAAAAAACATGTTTCCGGGCGGAATAAGTTTCATCAAGCCTTATGATGGTACACAAGATGGGTCGCAAGTTTATATAAAATTTAAAGTGTGGTTCGCAATCAGGGAAAGACTGAGATTTAAGAATTCTAATGTAAATTTTTCATAAATAATGCCAATTTAGAATTCTTTACTATCTAATAACTATTCTTCGAACTTTTAGGCAGTTTGGATAACAATTTAGCCAACGTATAAGATACTTACCACAGACAAATAGACATAACACATTGAATATTTCTCACTGTAAAACATCGTCGTTAAAACATTACCGCCCTCTGTTGAGTACACTGTGGTGGGTAGTACCATAGAGGTAACTCTAAGACCACTGGGTCCCGAAGAAAATCATTATTATTTTTGGCTCACTCAGTACCAGAACAACGGTCCCAAGCAGTCCCAAGCTATTTCACTCACCCCTGCATGTTCTGCATGAATCCACACACCCCTGATGTTATCTGTCAAACTTTCATAGCGAATCAAAACAAACATAGTGTAGTAATAGAATTTCAACTAGAATAGGGTACGTTAATCGTTTGCTTGGGACCAATAGGCTACTAAAGTGGTGAGCCAATTTAAAATCGTTAGTTTCGTATTGATTGTTGGTAGTACGCTGAACAGATGGCGGTAGTGTGGAAACGTCAAACGCAAGGGAATTGACTATGCGCGCCACTGGTGGCGGTACTACCAACAATCAATACGAAACTAACGATTTTAAATTGGCTCACCACTTTAGTAGCCTATTGGTCCCAAGCAAACGATTAACGTACCCTATTCTAGTTGAAATTCTATTACTACACTATGTTTGTTTTGATTCGCTATGAAAGTTTGACAGATAACATCAGGGGTGTGTGGATTCATGCAGAACATGCAGGGGTGAGTGAAATAGCTTGGGACTGCTTGGGACCGTTGTTCTGGTACTAAGTGAGCCAAAAATAATAATGATTTTCTTCGGGACCCAGTGGTCTTAGAGTTACCTCTATGGTACTACCAACTAAGATACTTTTAAATTGACCGATAAATGCTTGTTCGATGAACATCTTGCGAGTTTTATGTCTGTTTGTCTGTATACTTACTTTACTTTTGCTGATCCGACATCCCTCGGAACCTAACCTGTATAACAAGTTGCGCCAACTAACTCGGTCCCTGGTTGCTTGTCTCCAATTTCTCGAGCGTCCCACACTTCCTACATCTTACTCCACTTGGTCTAACCACATAGCACGCTGTGCTTTTCTGCGTCTTGTACCGGCCGGATTTGAGGAAAACACCATTTTTGCGGGATTGTTGTCCGGCATTCTTACAACGTGTCCCGCCCGTGGAAGGGTACAATCTTCCACTTTTAGCGACTTTCTGGATATTGGGTTCGCCATAAAGTTACGCCAGTTCGTGGTTCATTCCTAAATAGAGCTGGAACTAGGGCGTAACAGCTTTTGTAATCAATGACTTCTCTCGATGATTTCGCGGAAGTCATGGCTCTCCAAGGCGAATCGACATCACCATCGATTAGAGAAAGACTTCTACTACCCGATGGATATGTTGGTTTGTGTAGGCGTGTCTTGAATTCCGAGAAATCAACAAGAGAAGTCATTGTTTACAAAGGCTGTTACGCCCTAATTCCAGCTCTATCTTGATTCTTCTACTCCATTCACCATTTTCATATACCCTCTGCCAAAGATGGTCCTAAGCACGCGTCGTTCGAAAACTCCCAGTGCTCCTCGAGCATTGTCCATTGTCATATTTTTCATGCACAATAATTTTGTTTATTATATATTTGCAGTTCGTTTGCAGCAATTTTTGGAGCGATCCGTGAAGGGGAAGGCTTGCCACTTGTATATCCGAACAGTGGACCAAACAAGCCAGCAACCCCGTCCAAAGTGTCATGCATTATTGACAAATTGGCACAGTGGGTCGATTTAAAGGGAGATCTGGAGGCGCAGCGATCACATTGTAATGATTGTCTGGTAGTTCACTCAAAAATGCTATAACAATCGCCAAGCTCGCTGTAATGTCACCAAGTGCCTCGTCACCCACGAATAGGCGTCTATGTCAGTGGTCTAACAACTCTTAGCGCGCTAATGGCATAGTTCCCCTGCCGCATAGAGAGTTGCCACAATGATATTAGGTTAGCTAAGGTCAGTTAACTGACTGGTGGGAAACGGGAGCTTAAGCAATGGCTATTCTTTATGCATTTAAGAGATAGTCTACCAGAATGGATGACTTTTTTTTGTACAATTTTATGTTTTCTGATGGTTTCGGTTGTGCAAAACATGAGAATTAACTTTTTCAATACTTTCAATTGTACAAAGCATTAGAGCTAGAAACAAGATCTTGTAAACACTACACACCTTAACTGGTAGTTTGCTAAAAAAAATGCTGCAAAAATCGTCAAGCTCGCTGTAATGTCACCAAGTGCCTCGTCACCTACAAATTGGCGCCTATGTCAGTGGTCTAATAACTCTTAGCGCGCTAATGGCATAGTTCCCCTGCCGCATAGAGAGTTGCCGCAATGATATTAGGTTAGCTAAGGTCAGTTAACTGACTGGTGGGAAACGGGAGCTTCAGCATTGACTGTTATGCACGCATTTTTATGATGTAATCTAACAACAATCGTGTGTAGTGTTTACACGATCATTTTTCTAGTTCTAATGTGTTGTAAATATAATTGAAAGCATTTGAAAAGTAAGATTCTAGTGTTTTGTATATCTAAAAACATTAGTAAACATCTACATTTGAAAACATTCAAACAGCGTTTACTTTAAACGTTTTGTACATCTGAAAACATCAGAGAACATCAAACACGAAGTACAATTGAAAACATCCGAACAACGTTTAGTTCTAACGTTGTGTACATCCGAAAACATCCAAAAAAAGTTTGGTTCCAGCATCGGGAGGCATCTACGTTAGAAAACATCAGAATACATTTACATATAAAAACATCCGAACAACGTTTAGTTCTAACGTTTTTTACATCCGAAAACAACCGAAAAACGTTTGATTCTAACATCAGGAAACCTCTACATTAGAAAACATCAGAAAACGTTTACATATAAAAACATCCGAAAAACGTTTAGTTCTAACGTTTTTTACATCTGAAAACATCCAAAAACGTTTGTTTCTAACATCAGGAAACATCTACATTAGAAAACATCAGAAAACGTTTACATTTAAAAACATCCGAACAACGTTTAGTTCTAACGTTTTGTACATCTGAAAACATCCTTAAAACGTTTGGTTCTAATGTCAATAGATTGAAATTTTTGACATCAGACCGACATTAGAATGGCAAAATTTTGTTCCAAAATTTCTGATGTATACACCATGTTACGTTGCTTAAATACAACTAAATCATAATGTTTCCTAATGTTTGACATCAGGCATACATTTGATTTCGATGCTGATGTAGACATCAAAATCAAACGTTGGGCTAATGTAAATTTCTATTCGGGAACTCACAGTGCCCAGTGCTGTAACAATACAAGCGAGTCGTTTTGGTCGGCGTTTGTAGTGGTTGTATTTCGTGCCCGTCGATATTGAAACTGGATGTTTTCGCGTTTCGGATGTTTTCGCGTTTCGGATGTTTTCGCGTTTCGGATGTTTTCGCGTTTCGGATGTTTTAAATGTTACGGCTGTTTCGTCTAGTGATTCATAGTAAGTAAATATACATTCAGTGCTAGATTAAGAGTAGAAGTGAAAAGAAATATGATACCTCAGCCAGAATTTCTGGACGTTGAGATGTATGAAGAGGAAGCGGAAGAAGAAGAAGATGTAGGTGAGGAGGAAGAGGTTGAAATTTTGGAATCTCTAGATGATTCCGATATATCAGAAGATTTCGGGGACGAAGAGGAACCCCTTAAGGAGGATGATCCAAGCTTCGATACATTAGCTGGTGAGTAATATTGAACTTAGAACATAAAAAGAATAACTGACATAACCTTTAAGACAAAGCAGCCTTTAACAAAAATGCATAACCTCATTTTTTTCTCTTATTATTTTTTTTTACTTCACAGTAGATGACACGCCAACCGGACTTCGACCATCAGATCCTGTTATTATCAAACAACAAACTCAAATAGGGTCCGAGCTCATACCGAAAGGTAAGTAGCAAGTTATTTTTGTACACCTAGACTGTAAAATTTTCAACGATTTTTCTCACATTCGAGCAGATTTTTGAGGAAAATACCAGAAAACTATCTCAGTCTATTAGTTAACGACATATTGGCGAATTTGAGTGAACAAAACTCAAATTTGATTTGATCTCATTGGCTGTGTACATACATAAAGTTAAAACATGATGAAAAAAAAAATCCAATTTCTATTGATATTCAAGAATAACTATGCAAATCAACGTATCTAATTTCGTAAACAATCACTTCAATCGACGATTTGTGACAACTGCTAGCTCACTCACAGACACTAACAACACCAGATAGTAGGAGAGAGATTCCCCTACCTGATGATGGTGTTTACGTGGGTTAGTTAGCAGTTAAGACAAATCGTCGATTGAAGTGATTGTTTACAAAATCAGTTACGTCGATTTGAATAGTTACGCTTGAATGTTTGTTTTGTATATCCGTGGGAAGCCAAAAATTCAAAATAAAAATCGATCGAGACATATTAAACTTTGCAACAACTCTGCTATAAATTTGGATAGATTTCTATTTCTCTTTGTATATTGTTTTAAATGTTATTATTTTATCTTCTACAGCTGAACAAAACGTATCCACACCGGTCACTGAAACGGCCGTGGCAGCTCCTGAGTCATGTCACCGATTGGAGCCGCATGAGGCTGTGGAAACATTGATCAGTTCTGTAGCTCCAGCAACCGTTCCCAGTAACTTCTATCCCAGAACGTCTGAGATGTCAACGGATCCATCTACTGGTTCTCCTCTAAAACAGATCTTGACGATTGAATGGAAACTGGCTCCTAGCATATACGTATTGTTGAAAGGTAATCTATCTTTTTTTTTTCACTTATATCAATGTCCTTAAACACGTATTACATAAGGGAAAAGTCAATTTGTATGCCTGTGTTGTTTGTTGTATTTACATTTTTGTATTGCAATATAGGGTTTAGCACATAATGTACCTTTTAGAATTTGATGGCAAATTAATATCTAAAGCTGTTTTCATCTTTATTAATGCATGTCGTGGATGCATCATATTAGACGTAATTACAAACTTGACTCACTTCTGTATTATGCTCGCACACAGACATGTGTTTCACGAAATTACTCCTAACAATCCTAATAACCGGTACTTATTTTGAAGTAATGAAATTGGGATGTTAGCGGAATGCTTATATAAAACAGCAAAAAAAAAGTTATTTTCCATTTAATTCCAATTAATTCATTTTTGGTATCCATGATAAATACGTATTTCGACTACAATGTTCAGTCTTCATCAGTGTCATTCCCACTTATTTATTAACACTCAACTCTTACATTCGTCACGAAAAACTGTTTGTGGGTAACCTTATTTTTTTAATCTTTCTTGACAACACATTACTATTTTCAAGATTCAATAGTAGTATGAACTGATTTGATTAAATAGTTCTTTCATGGACAATGCAAACCTTCTCACATATTCTCGAAAAACCAGAATGCAAGTTAAACATGGCAAGGCTTGATTGATTAATGGATGTCTACTAATTGGTGCAAATATGTTCCGGCCCAACTCATTAATTAATATTATACTGTTATGTACATTTTTCATAACATTTTAATTTGGAAACATTTTGCGTCACATTAAGAACAATAGTGCGTAAACAATATCAAAAGCTATTTTTTCCATTTTTTTTTAAATAAATTCGACTTGACCATTCTTACATTTTTGGTTCCTTTTCTTTGATATGTCAAATAGTGACACGCAGCTTTTTTAAGAGTTTAATCAAGAAGTGATTAAAAAAAACATTGATTTTTTTATATTTCTTTAGCTGCGTCCACGGTAGGATGAAATGGGCTCTGAAGAGATGGCGTGGCACCATATTATGAAAAATTAAATGCTTTTTACTATATCGGTAAGGGTTACGTGCCACTTCGCCACTCCTTTGACAACATTGGGTTGTTAGGAGAGGTGGGGTGGAGTACTTGTTCCGAAGCACAGAAAGACATTATAACTATAATTCGAAAACGGTTGAAGATCTTGATACATTTCGATAAATTCAAATGCGGTTTTTTTCTGATTGCAAAAAGCTCGCGTCATTCTATAATTTTTGCTATTTTACACTAAATAAAATAATAAATAATAAGATTCGAAGAAGGTAGATAATTCACAGTTATATCACAAACGAAGTGACAGACGACTTACTGGCGAAGAAATCAATTAAAATAATGTGGTTCGCTGTAATAGAATTTTCTTAGAAGCTTGTGCCATCATCCACCAGATGGGATAGTATTTTTGTTTTGGTTTTGCACGAAGTTGATTTTGTGTACAATGATTCTTTGACAGTGTGCAAAGAGTGTATATCATTTTGTCATTTTTTTATGCATTCCAGTTTTGAGTAGAGTGAAAGAGATAGAACCAAAACATTCTAGTACATTTGGTGAAAATGCTAGTTCAATCCAGTAGTAGCATAGAGGTAACTCTAAGACTAGAAGGTCCCGAAATAACGTGCTCAACTTTTTGGCTCAGCTCTGGTACTCTCTTCGGTCCCAAGCTAATCGATTCACCCCTCGAAACATAGAAAAAACCAATAACCCCTCATTTTATCTGTCAAACTTTCATAACGAATCAAAACAAACATTGCGTAGTACTAGAATTTCGACTAGAATAGGGTACGGTAATCGTTTGCTTGGGACCAATAGGCTACTAAAGTGGTGAGCCAATTTAAAATCGTTAGTTTCGTATTGATTGTTGGTAGTAGTGTTGCCATGTGGTACAATCCACTGGTAGTGGAGTTGCCATGTGGTACACTGAAAAATTGCAATAGCAGGTTAGTCACCAAAGTTTTCGAGCCGCTCCGTCTGTCACTTCGTTTGTGGTTATATTGAGCACTGAAAAGTGCTGTTTGTTGTAGCTTTAGGTAACACTTCCTTCAGCAAATAGCAAAAAGATCCATGTCATAATTTTCCCAGTAGTTTATAAATCTTTTGTTACTTTTTTTCAGAAAGAGGCTTAAATTACTCTCGAAGGACGACGTTGATGACGTATTTAGTCCCAGCAGGACTGGAGAAAAAATTCGATTGCGATCGAAACTGCGCTGCTGGTCGGAGTCCAAACAATATCAACCACCTCAAGAAGGATGCTCAAGAAGTTTGAACTTTTCAAAGTCACAAGTTCAGTCTGAGGACTTAGAACAACTGCTGAAGAATAATGAGAAAGGAAAAATAATTTCGAAATATTTTGAAAAATTTCAGACACTCAATAACCTAATGCGAAAGCAATTGAGTGAAATCATCTGCGATTCATATATTTCATTAGAAAAGCCCTTCCCGTTATCAGATATGGAAAAATTCAGTGAACTTATTTCCGCAAAATTTTCTTCTGAAACAAAAGTATCTATTGCTTCAAAAATAAGAATTATTGCTTGTGTTCTTCTACAAGTAGTTTTGTTTCCTTTATTTGTTTTGTAGGACGCTTATCTATGTGCTCGTGATAAAGAAATTGGCAAATTGAACCCGTCTGGATTGATATATAACCGGTACTATAACTCGCGAGATCGGAAAGCATTCCAGCCACCAGTTCAGAGGAAACGGAAACTGGAAAACCCCAACGACGATCCAAGAACAAGCGAAGCTCATCAACATTTCAGTCAAGAAGGTAACAAAAGTTTTTCAACAGATTTAATGTTAACATGATTTTTACATGGTGTTTTCCTGCATAAATTTATATTCAGATTTAGTTATCCTGAAGGAAGATCATGCCTGGTTGATGAATAATAATGTTCCCGTCGAAGATGTTAAAGAGCGTTGGAGAAGAACAGTAAAGTTTCGTCTTGATAGTATCAAAGATCTGCAGAACGAAAGAAATAAGTTCCAGAAGCTTTTGGAGGTGTGGCCTCGGTTTAAGGATAGCGAAGGAGCAGTTTATGTGAGTAAATCAAGATAACTTGGAATAGCTAATTTATTTTTCGATGGGTGATTCCGGGTCTCACCTTATCCCGTCTGACCTGGTGTAGAGCTCTTTCGCCCATTCAAATGTTATGAAACGCAAGAGGAAGGAGGTAGTACCAACAATCAATACGAAACTAACGATTTTAAATTGGCTCACCACTTTAGTAGCCTATTGGTCCCAAGCAAACGATTAACGTATCCCATTCTTGTCGAAATTCTAGTACTACGCAATGTTTGTTTTGATTCGCTATGAAAGTTTGACAGATAACATCAGGGGTGTGTGGATTCATGCAGAACATGCAGGGGTTAGTGAAATAGCTTGGGACTGCTTGGGACCGTTGTTCTGGTACTGAGTGAGCCAAAAATAATAATGATTTTCTTCAGGACCCAGTGGTCTTAGAGTTACCTCTATGGTAGTACCAACAATCAATACGAAACTAACGATTTTAAATTGGCTCACTACTTGACTAGCCTATTGGTCCCAAGCAAACGATTAACGTACCCCATTCGAGTCAAAATTCTAGTACTACGCAATGTTTGTTTTGATTTGCTATGAAAGTTTGACAGATAAAATGAGGGGTTATTGGTTTTTCCTATGTTTCGAGGGGTGAATCGATTAGCTTGGGACCGAAGAGAGTACCAGAGCTGAGCCAAAAAGTTGAGCACGTTATTTCGGAACCTTCTAGTCTTAGAGTTACCTCTATGGTAGTACCACAAACGAAGTGACAGACGGAGCGGCTCGAAAACTTTGGTGACTAACCTGCTATTGCAATTTTTCAGTGTACTAAATGGCAACACCACTACTACTGGATTGTACCACATAGCAACACTACTACCAACAATCAATACGAAACTAACGATTTTAAATTGGCTCACCACTTTAGTAGCCTATTGGTCCCAAGCAAACGATTAACGTACCCTATTCTAGTTGAAATTCTATTACTACACTATGTTTGTTTTGATTCGCTATGAAAGTTTTACAGATAACATCAGGGGTGTGTGGATTCATGCAGAACATGCAGGGGTGAGTGAAATAGCTTGGGACTGCTTGGGACCGTTGTTCTGGTACTGAGTGAGCCAAAAATAATAATGATTTTCTTCGGGACCCAGTGGTCTTAGAGTTACCTCTATGCTACTACTGGATTGAACTAGCATTTTCACCAAATGTACTAGAATGTTTTGGTTCTATCCCTTTCACTTTACTCAAAACTGAAATGCATAAAAAAAAATGAAAAAATGATACACTCTTTGCACACTGTCAAAGAATCATTGTACACAAAATCAACTTTGAGCAAAACCAAAACAAAAATACTATTCCATCTGGTGGATGATGGCACAAGCTTCTAAGAAAATTCTATTACAGCGAACCACATTATTTTAATTGATTTCTTCGCCAGTTAGTCGTCTGTCACTTCGTTTGTGGTAGTACCATAGAGGTAACTACACTGAGGCAAAAAGACTTAAGAATTTCATAAGACTCGACTTATGAACGACAGATATGAATTTCATAAGCGCGACATATACTCTCTTCGGTCCCAAGCTAATCGATTCACCCCTCGAAACATAGGAAAATCCACTAATCCCTCATTTTGTCTTCAAACTTTCATAGCGAATCAAAACAAACATTGTGCAGTAGTAGAATTATGACTAGAATGGGGTATACGTTAATCGTTTGTTTGGGACCAATAGGCTACACTAATAGAATTCCACACATTTTTATTGGCGAATTTCCATGTAAAATTCCACATGATTTTTATGTGACCACACATAAGCAGAATCTACCAAGAAGCACACATGAAATTTATGAGTCAAATTAATAGTATGTGTGGTTACACATGGCTTTTATGTGTACACATATTAAGTATGTGTCCGACACATAGATATCAATTGTTGATCACATTGCAAAAATTCATGTGCGGGACACATAAAAACAATCTTTGAATTTTTATCAGTGTAGTCAAGTAGTGAGCCAATTTAAAATCGTTAGTTTCGTATTGATTGTTGGTAACGATTTTAAATTTGCTCATTACTTGCCTAGCCTATTGGTCCCAAGCAAATCGATTAACGTGCTCCATTCTAGTCTAAATTCTAGTACTACACTATGTTTGTTTTGATTCGCTATGAAAGTTTGATAGATAAAATGAGGGGTTCGTGGATTTTTCTATGTTTCGAGGGGTGCATCGATTAGCTTGGGACCGGAGAGTGTACTAGAGCTGAGCCAAAAAGTTGAGTACGTTTCTTCGGGACCTTCTAGTCTTAAGGGCCACCCCAAGGGGTAGGTCACTCCGCACACCAATCTTGGGTCATCTTTTTTGTAAGTGTGCCTCAAATGTGCCGCAGGTGTGCCGATTGTGCCGGTAATAGAGCAAGCTGCGATTGTTTGTAAAATACCCATACCGGCAACCCGGTATTTCTGACACCTTGAATGTTTTGGTTTGAAATCGCAAGGATAAATCGGATTGAGGATGACGATGCTGCAACCAGGTCAATCCATCGGTTGTGTAATATAACGTTGTACGATGTACATCGATTTTGCAAACAAAATTACATCCATTGATGTAATATTGTATCTGCTTTTTGCTATCACATCATTATTTCATACATCAGCTTGAATTAAATTGATCGATATTACATTTTTTTTTTGCTGTGTATAGAGATTTTTGACGTTTAATCGGCGCACACTACTGCACCATTTAATTCGAACGAGTGCGAGTAAGAGGGAAACAGATTGGTGGGAAAACAATTCGTCCATTCATCCATGTGTGCTAGATAGAGAAAGGCGATTAAACGTCAAAAAGGTCTATGGTACGAACCCTCGTTGCATGTCATTGCATGTTGTGATGAAAGACAAGGCTCTTAGACACAATGTTTTAGTTTTACGAAGAATTTAGCGTCACACTTCTCTTCATCATACACTTCTAAAATGTGTCATTCCATTTCAACACATGATAGGCTCTATATGTCGAAGTAGCGCGGGACCCTATTAGAATAAATCCTTTAGATTTTAATGTTACTATCAATATCAAATGAAATACTTTTCATAAGAAAAGCAAAATAAACGCTGTTGTAGATGTTTGTGATTGAAAAAAATAAAAAAAAAACGCTAAATAGTCCGTGTTAAAAAGGTGAAACAAAATGAAAACAGCACACCACAGCAAATAAAAACCCACATAAATGTGAACCTCACCAAAAATTGTTAGACATTGTTTATAATCCCTGCTAAACTTTAACTGAAATGTTTATCGAACTTTACATGAACGTTTGTGGGATAAAGTTTTAACCTTATATATTATGGTATTATGGATGGTTTTGTAACATCGATCAACTTTATGTGGTATATATCGTGAATACCTTGCCTGTAAATTACTGATTACCAATTCGCGATATATTCCACGTAAAGTTGACCGATAATACAAAACCATTAATGGACCTTACTGACTACCATAACCATTACAATTAAAGTTCTCAAACCATTAGTAAAAAGGTTCTAATATAGTCCCTCTCCGAAAATGTATGGAGAAAACAACTATTTTGAATGGTAATGGTTCTTAACAATCCATTTTTTGTAAGGTTCAATTCCAAAGAATCATAATAGGGGAATTTACGTATTCTCGTCAATCTAAGCAGCGTCCGAACTTCTATTAGCGATTTCTCAGCGTCACACACATACATGACAGGTTTGTTTGTTGACATTTATCTGCTGCTTGCTGTTCTACCAATTTCAATCGACAGAATTGATCAAAACGGGTTGAACATGTTTTTACAACGCTCCAAACTTCTCAGGTGAGTGTGACTATTGTCGGCAGTCTCTTTTTCTTCGGCACCCTTTCCATTTGAACTGCGTGTTAACCAGCTGTTCTATTATCGGCAACTCGAAATCAGCCGTATTTTGTAGTGTGTATATTTCATTTAAAGAAAAATATGGCAGAACAGGATTGCACAGTCGTAAAAATGTAATCAGAATGAAGCTGAAAAGGTAAGGAATCGGTTTAATATATTCAGCGAAGAGTTTTGATGGGAAAATACAGTGAAATTAACGTTTCAATTTCGGTTGACGAAAACAGTCAATGGGTGCCGAAGCCATAATTTACCCTACATAAGGTTAAAACTTTATCCCACAAACGTTCATGTAAAGTTCCATAACCATTTCAGTTAAAGTTTCTTCTTCTTTTTCTTCGCATTTCAAGCTTATTGCATATCGCATATTAGCTTATTGCGTGCTCTCAACTTGGTGTTCTAGATGCACTTCCACCATAGAGGTAACTCTAAGACTAGAAGATCCCGAAGAAACGTGCTCAACTTTTTGGCTCAGCTCTGGTATTCTCTTCGGTCCCAAGCTAATCGATTCACCTCTCGAAACATAGGAAAATCCACTAACCCCTCATTTTATCTGTCAAACTTTCATAGCGAATCAAAACAAACATTGTGTAGTCATAGAATTTCGACTAGAATGGGGTACGTTAATCGATTTGCTTGGGACCAATAGGCTAGTCAAGTAGTGAGCCAATTTAAAATCGTTAGTTTCGTATTGATTGTTGCTTCCACCACAAACAAAGTGACAGACGAATAACTGGCAAAGAAATCAATTAAAATAATGTGGTTCGCTGTAATAGAATTTTCTTAGAAGCTTGTGCCATCAGCTACCAGATGGGCTATTATTTTTGTTTTGATTTGAACATAGTTGATTTTGTGAGCAATATGATCTTTGACAGTGTGAAAAGAGTGTATCATTTTGTCATTTTTTATGCATTTCAGTTTAGAGTAGAGGGAAAGAGATAGAACCAAAACATTCTAGTACATTTAGTGTTGCCATGTGGTACAATCCATTAGTAGTGTTGCCATGTGGTACAATCCAGTAGTAGTGGTGTTGCCATGTGGTACAAAGTTTTCGAGCCGCTTCGTCTGTCACTTCGTTTGTGCTTTCACAGTTATTAATTGAGAGCTTTCGGTGCCTGTACCATGTTTGCATTGGTATAATTGTGTGGCAAGTCCAATCATACTTCTATGCCCAGGGAAGTCGAGAAATTTTCCAACCCGAAAAATTCCTAGACCGGACCGGGAATCGAACCCAGCCACCTCCTGCTTGGTCTTGTTTTATAGCTGCGCCTTTACCAACTGAGCTAAGGGAGGCCCCAATTAAATTTTAACAGGAATTATAAACAATTTTTAACCATTTTCTGTAATGTCAAGATATGGTTCGCGTTTATGCGGGAAAAAATTTACACAGAATAAGATTACAGGTAATTAGTTGTGTAATATTACCATATTACGTTGTACGTAGAATTGATAAACAAATTTACATCCATGGATGTAATATTACATCTGAATTGGAATTACATCAATGTATGATACGTTAGCATGAAAATCATAAGGGCATAACTGCGATGATCATTTTTTTTTTAAATTAATTTATTTGTACAGGCATAATCAAATAAACTTTACAGAGCCAAATTATCATTAATGTTATAAATTAATGTCTTAAACCTAAAGTTAAAGAAATTGAACCGAGTACTCGCGGTTGTCTTGAGGTTAGTGGAGATTTACAGTTTTAAAATTAGCAACGCTTGAGCCAGTATCACCCCCACGAAATTTCTGTATTTTTAAATGATATTTTAATTTCATGATAAAAGTTCTTATTTATATTTATATCTACATTCTATGTTTTTTTTTTCTTCGGCAGCTGGACATTGATTACAATGCTCTAACGGACGGAAAAGGAAACGGACTCTTAGTTGGTTGGCCCTCGTTTTCTGAAAAGTTTATGGAATACGTCACCTCGACGTCACTGCTAATGAACCACGGGAGAAATCTTGCCTAGAAATTATTGATAAACTGCATCGGACGGACATTTCAGTGTGTAAGTTTGGATTTTAGGATTTACTATTGGCCCAATTTATTTACTTTTCTATTTTTTGTTCCTTTAGGCTCTCGTAATTTTCTCATCTATAAATTGTTCCCCGGTGTCATCAAACCAAAACGTATTGGTGGAAGAACCCTTCCTTCAATTGCACAAGCGCAGTCGGATTCTCTCATACACTGTTTAACAGCAAGCGATATTGGTCCAACACTTGAAAAGCTGAAAGAGAAGAAAACTTGTTATCAACCAAGTATCATCGTTGTCGGTGCTGAGGACGCTTGTATCACCCAGTTTTATGTGGTGAAGGACGACTTGTTCTGGAAGCCCTGCTCTTTTCTAAAATGTATTGATATTGTTGTGAAAAGCTGCAAGGTTTTCGATCTTCAATTTTCACCATACAATGAGCTTTTCTGGACGTTTGTTCGTGATTTCTTCATGCAAGAACGCCATGTAAAATATTCTAAAACTAGTTCACTTGTGCAACTTCAGAAAGTTCTGAAATCATGAATTGCTTCATATGTTCAGCAGTGTTTAATCAAGCATCATCAATTATCCGGCATCTAAAAAGAATACATGGCACCCCCAGCCATTTCACATTCAAATGTGTTCAATGTGATCCCCATTTGAGTTTCCAGAACGTGTATAGCTACGGAAAGCATATAAAAAATAAACATGAGGTTGTCGAAGAAAATCGTCACGAGCAAACGGTAGAGCAAAATGCACCAATTGAAAACAGCGTAAATCTAGATAACAGTAATACAACTCAAGCAGAGTTTGAGGATAATCCGATAGAAGCTAAGCCACGAGACAATCTGAGTGAAGAAATGAACAGAGTAAGAAATTCGCTCTTTGAATTTACATTAGGATTACATAATAATAGCAGAACAACACGAAAAGAAGTCATAAGCATTCAGAATGCCGTAACCTTGAAGGTGGTCCAACCTATATTGAATATTATATCAGAAGCTACTATACCCTTCATGACAGATGCAACCAGAAAGAAAGATCTGCAGTTAGTTGTACAGGAGTTGAGGCAACCATTTTCTTTTATTTCCTCCGAACATCGCCTGTTCAAGCAGCTTAATTCTCACGACCTGATGAAACTACCAACAATGTACACAATAAATGAAGAATTGGTAGAGATGGTTTTACATGGTGAACCAACGATAGATCTTGAACATGTACGAGGATGTCTCATGCCAATTGAATTTCAAATTAAAAAGTATTTTGAAAGTGGATCCAATTTCCATAAGACAATGGAAAACATAAGGAGCATAGAAAAATCGAATTCAATTAATAATTTCATAAATGGTTCACTCTGGAGACAGGTCAAAGAAGTTCGTAAAAATGATATTTTGATTCCATATTTCCTGTATTCGGACGAGGTTGAAATTTGTGATCCGTTGGGATCGAATGCTGGAACCCATAAGATATGTGGGTTTTATTACAATTTTCCAACAATTCCGTCGCATCATTTATCACGGTTAGAAAATATTTTCGTAGCTGCATTTGTAAACTCAAACGATTTTTCCGAGTATGGAGTTCAAAAATCAGTGAAACCGATTATCGAAATTTTTTGTAAGTTGGAAAATGATGGAATTGATCTAGAGGTAGATGGAGACGTACATCACGTGTTCTTTGTACTAGGAGCTATTTTAGGAGACAATTTAGGAATTAACATGCTTTTGGATTTCACTACTTCGTTCAACTCATTTTTTTATTGCCGTTTTTGTAAAAGACATAAGAGTACAATGGAACATGATGTCCACATTCATTCTAGCTTGGTAAGAAACGTAGAAAACTACGACGAAGATGTTGATATTAACGATGTTAGAAAAACCGGTGTAAAGCGTGAATCTGTTTTCCATATTTTAAGACATTTCCATGTAACGCAGAATGCAGGAGTTGATCTCATGCATGATTTGTTTTCATCAGGTGTTTGCAAATACGATTTAGTCAAAGTTTTCGGACATTTGATGAACACGCTAAATATAAGTCTTGAAACGATAAACTACAGAAAACAAATGTTTAAGTTAGGTGAAACAGAGCTGAAGTACCTTTCAAAACCAATTACCATGAATAACATAAAAGAATGCAATTTCAAGATGTCTTCTAGACAAATGATGAGTTTCATACATATTTTTCCGTTAATTATTGGAGACATGATACCAGCAGATGACCCCGTATGGGACTTTTTGTGTTCCCTTGTTAAAATAGTTGATTTAGTTCTCTTGCCAAGTGTGGCAGTCCGTAAGTAGCCACAGCCACTGGGCTGAAGCTGAGCTACGGATGTCAATATGCCGTACGGCTAACCACTGGGCAGACGGACGGTACTATGACATCTGTAGAGAAACGTAGAGGAACAGATAATCGTTAAATAAACGTTCTTATTAAAAGCACTAATTATTAGTTGATTAATCATTAATAAAACGGGTTATCACATCTGGCGACGACGGATATAAACTGGAATTAATTACAGGTAAGATTTATTTAGAAATATTGGAGAAAAGAAAAAAAAAACTTTTTTGCTGGGCTAGGAAAGACTCTTCTTGGTTATGTTATGCGTGATGAAAAAAAAAAAATGTGGATGGCAAGAATTCTAATAAGAATTTGTTTTCATTTTGTCTAATTTAGTGGAAAATACTACATCCAAGTAGTGGTCGGTGCATTGCACGACGAAGGTCAGATTAAGACCGTAGCAGGCAGAAAGCCGTCAGGTCAGTGAGAAGACCGTACCAGGCAGTAAGCCGTCAGGTCAGGGAAGACCGTATCAGGCAGAAAGCCGTCAGGTCGAGGAAGACCGTCAAAAGGAACGTAGCTCTCGGGTCGAGGACGACCGATAAAGGCAAGAAGCCGCCAGACGGAAACTGGCCGGCCGACAGGATTCGTGGATGTCAATCGTATTGTTGGCCGTGTTTAAACGTAATTCGTCGATTTTGGAAAGGTGAATGCGTAAATAGTATTTACTAACAAACGAAAACCAAAAACAATTATTTTAAATTTTAGCGTTTTTATCAAATAATCAAAGATGGACAAATGGGACATACCGCAATTCAAGTTCAGATCGATTCCAAACAGTACCGTACGCGACGAATGGCAGAAATATAAACGGAATTTCGGTTTCATAGCGGCTGCCAATGGGGAAAAGGACAAAACCCGATTGAAAAATATTTTTTTGGCTAGAGCCGGCCCGGACGTGCAGGAAGTTTTCTCTTCAATACCAGGAGCTGACGTTGATGAAGACAAAGAAAAGAAGATCGATCCGTATCAAACGGCGATCGAGAAACTTGATGAATATTTTTCGCCCAAACGGCACGAAGCTTTCGAAAGGAATTCCTATTGGAATTTGAAGCCAATGGAGGATGAGTCTATGGAGAAGTTTTTGTGGCGTTCGCTTGAGGTGGCTCGAAAATGCAATTTCGGAAGTACCCTTGAGGAGAGTCGTAATATCGCTGTCGTTGACAAGATAATTCTGTTTGCTCCTCCGGAATTAAAGGAGAAACTGCTGCAAAAGGAGTCCTTGACACTAGACGATGTAACTCGAGTGGTCAGTTCGTATGAAGCAGTGAAATATCAATCACAGCAGATGAAAACAGCGTCATCGAGTACAGAACGTTCAGCACCTAGCTATTGGATGGATAATGGCACTAATGTCTGCAAGATTCAAGGTTCGTCGAAAAACCCAACCGGTGAATGTTACCGCTGTGGGCGTAAGAACCACTACGGAAATGATCCGAAGTGTCCAGCTAAAGATCAAAGGTGTAACAAATGTAACAGAATCGGCCATTTCTATAAACGGTGCAGAACAATCACACTTCCTCAGAAGCGAAGCGCGAATAACCCTATCGAATGGCGGGGAAAGAAACCGAAATCCCAAGGTATCATGCGAGTTCAGGACAGCGAGGAGGAAAAACCGGTACCGCCAAATTTCATCTTTAGTATCGGAAATGGGGACGAATTTATCTGGGTCAAAGTAGGAGGTGTCATGATCCAAATGTTGATTGATTCTGGAAGTGCCAAGAACATTATAGATGACAGGACGTGGGCGTACATGAAAACTCATGGAGTGAAAGTTGAGGAATTTTGGAAAGAAGCCGATCAAACTTTCCGTGCGTATGGCCACGATTCGGAACCGTTAGCAGTAGGTGGAATGTTTGAAGCAGTTATTTCTGTTGAGGATGCCGGAAAGCGGATTGAAAGGAGCGATCGCTTTTATGTAGTACAGGGAGGTACACAACCCTTACTCGGGCGATTGACTGCTACCAAGCTAGGAGTATTGTCGATCGGTTTACCTAGTGTCCAATCTTCTTTGAACCAGGTTGTAGACGAAAAAAGGCCTTTTCCTAAAATCAAGGATGTCAAATTGAGAATTCCTATCGACAGAACTATAACTCCTGTTGTACAACATGTCAGACGCCCACCTATTGCTCTGCTTTCACGTATTGAAGACAAATTGTCGGCACTTCTGACTACAGATATAATTGAACCAGTCACTGGAGCCAGCGAGTGGGTATCACCGCTAGTGACGATAGTGAAGGATAACGGAGATCTTCGCCTATGCGTGGATATGCGACGCGCAAATCAAGCTATACGACGAGAACACCACATGATGCCAACTATCGAAGATTTTCTTCCTCGCCTCAAAGCTGCCAAGTTCTTCAGTCGGCTTGATATTAAGGAGTCCTACTATCAACTAGAGCTCGAAGAGGATTGCCGAGATATAACGACGTTCATCACTCACAAGGGACTATACCGTTTTAAGCGATTGATGTTCGGCGTCAGCTGCGCGCCGGAAATGTTCCAGAAGGCCTTAGAGCAGATTCTAGCAGGTTGTGAGAATACAGTCAATTATATCGACGATATCATCATTTTCGGACAGACAGAAGAAGAACATGA